TCCTGCCGGTCCAGCCTTAGCCTTACTAATATTCGGTGCTGGGCAGACAAGACTAACTATGATCTAGCTGCTGTTACTGAAACATGGTGGGACTGCTCCCATGACTGGAGTGTTGAGATTGATGGCTATAAACTCTTCAGAAGGGATAGACAAGGAAGGAAGGGTGGTGGTGTGGCCCTTTATATTAAGGACTGTTTTGATGTTGAAGAGCTTGAGATTGCAAATGATGAAGTGGAGTGTCTATGGGTGAGGATCAGGGGGAAGGCCTGTAGGGGAGACATCATAATTGGAGTCTGTTACAGACCACCGAATCAGGATGAGGAGATGGATGAAGCATTTTACGAGCAGCTTGTGGATTGCCAGCACTCGTTCCTGTGGGGGATTTCAACTTCCCTGATATATGTTGGAAATAAAACATGGCGCAAAGAAAGCAGTCCAAGAGGTTTCTAGAGTGTGTGGAAGATAGCTTCCTTACACAGCTGGTACGAGAGCCTACCAGGGGTGGTGCCCTGCTTGACCTGCTCCTTGCTAACAAAGAAGGACTGGTAGGTGATGTGAAGGTTGGAGACTGCCTAGGGCAGAGCGACCATCACATTGTAGAGTTCTCTATTCTTGGAGATGTCAGAAGGGTGATTACTAAAACTGCTATCTTGAACTTCCAGACGGCAGACTTTGACCTGCTCAGGACGCTTGTAGCACGGGTCCCTTGGGAGTCGCTCCTTAAGGGTAAAGGGGTCCAGGAAGGCTGGACGCTCCTCAAGGTGGAAATCTTAAAGGCATAAAAACAGGCTGTCCCTGAATGCCGTAAGGTGAGCTGTAAGGGGAGAAGACCGGTGTGGATGAGCCGGGAATTACTGTCAAGGCTCAGGAAGAAAAAGAGAGTCTATGTCCTCTGGAAGAAGGGACAGGCTACTAGGGGAGATTACAAGGAAGTTGCTAAGGTATGCAGGGAGGAAGTCCGGAAGGCAAAAGCCCATCTTGAACTTAGATTGGCCACTGCAGTAAAGCAGAATAAGAAATCCTTTTACAAATATATCAATGGCAAGAGAAAAACCAAGGATAATCTCTGTCCTTTAATTGATGCGGTGGGGAATGTGACCACAGATGACAAGGAGAAGGCTGAGGTCCTCAACGCCTTCTTTACATCTGCCTTTAATAGTCAGACCAGCTATCTTCAGGGCACTTTGTGCCCTGATCTGGATATCTGGGCTGACACGCAGCATGTCTCCCCGGCGATCGAGGTGGAGACAGTTAGAGAGCTCCTCCTCCATCTGGACAGTCACAAGTCCATGGGACCGGATGGGCTTCATCCTAGGGTGCTGAGGGAGTTGGTGGGGGTGATCGCTAAGCCGCTCTCAGCTATCTACCAGCGCTCCTGGTAGACTGGAGAGGTTCCAGAGGATTGGAGGCTTGCTGATGTGACGCCCATCTACAAGAAGGGCCGTAAGGAGGATCCGGGGAACTACAGGCCTGTCAGCCTGACATCAGTGCCAGGGAAGGTCATGGAACAAATCCTCCTGGGAGAGATCACACGGCTCGTGCGCGACGTTCACGGGATCAGGCCCAGCCAGCATGGGTTCATGAAAGGCAGGTTGTGTTTGACCAACCTCATCTCCTTCTATGACTGGGTGACCAGACTGGTAGATGAGGGAAAGGCAGTTGATGTAGTCTACCCAGCCTTCAGCAAAGCCTTTGACATGGTCTCTCACAGTATCCTTCTGCGGAAACTGGCTGCCCGTGGCTTGGACAGTTTTACCCTCCATTGGATAAGGAACTGGCTGTAGGGCCGTGCTCAGCGGGTGGTGGTCAATGGAGTGAAGTCCAGCTGGAGACCTGTTACAAGTGGTGTCCCCCAAGGGTGGGTACTGGGGCCCATCCTATTTAATATCTTCGTTGACGACTTAGATGAAGGGATTGAGTGTACCCTGAGTAAGTTTGCAGATGACACCAAGTTGGGAGGTGGTGTCAATCTGCCTGAGGGCAGGGAGGCCCTGCAGAGGGATCTAGATAAGCTGGATCACGGGGCTGAGATGAATGGGATGAGGTTTAACAAGGCCAAGTGTCGAGTTCTGCACTTTGGCCACAACAACCCCATGCAGCATTACAGGCTTGGGGATGAGTGGTTGGATGACTGTGAAGAGGAAAGGGACCTGGGGGTGTTGGTTGATGCTCGGCTGAACATGAGCCGACAGTGTGTCCAGGTGGCCAAGAGGGCCAACGGCATCCTGGCCTGCATTAGAAATAGTGTGGCCAGCAGGAGCAGGGAGGTGATCATCCCCCTCTACTCAGCACTGGTGAGGCCACACCTCGAGTGCTGTGTTCAGTTTTGGGCCCCTCACTACCAGGAAGACATTGAGGCCCTGGAACGTGTCCAGAGAAGGGCAACGAAACTGGTGAGGGGTCTGGAGCACAAACCTTATGAGGAGCAGCTGAGGGAGCTGGGATTGTTCAGTCTGGAGAGGAGGCTCAGGGGAGACCTCATTGCACTGTACAACTTCCTGAAGGGAGGTTGTGGTGCAAAAGGGTCTGGCCTCTTCTCCCAGGCAAATAGTAGGACCCAGGAAATGGCCAGAAGTTATACCAGAGGAGGTTTAGGTTGGATATTAGGAGAAACTTTTTCTCTCAAAGAAAGGCAGTCAGGCACTGGAATGGCTGCCCAGGGAGGTGGTGGAGTCGCCGTCCCTGGCAGTGTTCAAGAGGCGCCTGGATGAGGAGCTACAAGAGATGGTTTAGTAGCTTGTGGTACTGATAGGAATGGGAGGGTGGTTGGACTGGATGATCTTGCAGGTCGTTTCCAACCTTGTGATTCTGTGATTCTGTGAAGACTCGGGTAATAGAGAATTGGAGAAGTTAAATAAGTAACAACGTACATATATAAGCTAGCTGTATAGCTGTATAGCAAGCAATTAAGGTTTGATAAGATTGTAAACCTGGAGTACCCAGCCAATGGGGAAACAGGGGAAGGAGGGAGGCAAGGGGGGGGAAATGAGGTACAAAAAGCTGCCATTGTGTCATCAGGGCTGCTCCTGCTTGCTAGATGCCCGCCATTGCAATCGCGAATAAAATCTGCTTTTATTAGAGATGCCGTCCTGACAAAATTATTTGGATATTTCCAACAATCTGGGGGCTCAACTGGGATTATTATCACCTCTTTGGGGGTCCCCCTACTGCCCTGGACAGGATGGCTGCACCCTGCTGATTTCAGCAGTCCTGTCTGGGTGGTGAGGTGACTCCTTGGGATGCCGATAGGAAATGGAGACTGTTGCAAAAGGACAGCATCTGTGTAAGCCAAGGGGCAGGCAGGCACGGCATCGATCCCTGCAGACCCAGTAACTTCGTGCAAGGACCAAGATAAGGGAATTTAATTCTTGCCTTGGGGATCAGTGGAGACTCTCAGGAGGGAGCCCCAAAAAAGGGGGGGATCGCTGTATGTTGGTACTGATACCTTTTCGCAGTGGCCGGAGGCATTCCCTTGTAGAACTAATAAGGCACGTGGTGTAACTAAAGAGTTGTTACAGGAGGTTATTCCAAAATGCTGAGGAACCACTGGGTCTGTCAAGGAAAGTGCACCATCGAAAGTTAAAGTCATAAAGAGAAGAGGAATCATTTGCTAATTTGCTTTGTCTCAGTGTACACAGGAGGTGTTTCAGCCTAGGGAGAGAACTCCTTTTTTAGTTACTTTTCTAAAACTTTAAACTTATCAGATTGCTGGGTCTGTGCATGACTACCAAAGGCAGGATGGAAGTACCATGGTTTGGGATCCTGTCACTAAACTGGTCTGCTGAGTACAAACATAAAAGCGGTCAAAGGGATCTATTTACTCAGGTGCAGGTGAGGAAGCTACTGTTAACAGCACTATTATTCTAGGACCAAGATTCAACCTACCTTGGATCAATCTTACATTTCCAAATTTACGTTATGAAGGGCTTCTGGTGGCTGTGTGGGGACGAGACAGAGCTCGAAAATCTGTGCCAATAAATTGGAAAGGAGTTTGTATTGGGGGATTTTTAGCACCTCCTATGAGCATCCATCCTAAAGAACTCCCATCTGATATAGGGAGAACTACATGGGGCCAATATCAGAATACAAGGAGAGCAGGAATCCCCAATATGTTAAGTAAAGACTCCGCAGGCAAGAGGAGATGTCCTCCCTATCTAAAGTCGTACTACAGAATAGAATGACGCTGGATTTGTTGACTGCAAAGGAAGGGAGAGTGTGTTCCATAATAAACCAAAGCTGTTGTGCCTACATAAGTAAAGTCTGGAAGATTGAACGAGATCTAGACAGTATCTGGGAGCAAACAAAAGCCCTACATGAAGTGAGCAAGGATAATACCAACTGGGGAACAGCTGCCTCTGAACTATGGGACAGACTTACTAACTGGCTACCAAATTTCAGATGGCTGAAGCAACTTTTCTTAGCAAGCATTGCTCTACTCTCTGTGGTAGCTTTCACACCTTTGGTGCTAAGGTGTTCAGTGTGCTTATGTCAGAACACAGGGAAGGAATAGGAAAAGGAAGAGGCACAAACTGAGACAAAAGGTAGAAAGCAGGGCCTACTTTCAGTAATCATTCAAGAGGAACGGGACAGTCTAGCAGATAGGTGTCTCTGCTAGATCAAAGAAAAGGGGGGGAATTGAGGCATGAAGGGGTTACAGAAGTAAGTGAACAGAATGTGAACAAAGATAAAGGAAGTTTCAAACATATGGGTGTTGTAAAAGTAAGATAAGAGAAACTCGGTATAACTCTTCACAGCCCAAGGACCTTAGGCAAGGATAAGGGAAACTGCAGGACGGGCTGAAATCGGTTAGGGTAGCCCCTCGTGGGATGGTTAACAGTTGACAGTGAGGAAGACTACGAGCCCTCACCTACCTACAACCACCAGGAGAAGCTCCCTATAGCTTATGCAAGGGCAAGGAATCAGGGCCATATGCAAAGGATTTCTCCAGGAACTCTGCTGAATATGCGTGAGCTTGACCTTTACACGTAACGAGCGCCACACGCTGGGTGCAAGGGGGATCGCTCCTCCTACCTTTGCACATCAGAGAGTGGGGTCTTGATACACTTATAAGCCAAGCCATACATACCCAGCAGTATTACCTAAGACCCATTGACATATTCATTACTTTTCCAGGAATTCGTTTACATACTGTCCCCCTCCCCAGTGCATGCGCAGTAGCTTCCATTGGATGAAGGCTTGACATCTTCCTCCCCATTCGGTGGTCATTCTGGGATGAAGTCAGATGTCTTCCTCGCCATGTCCTTCTGACCTTTTTCCCAGTTCTGAGCTCTTCTCCCACCCTGCATGCCTCAGCAATTTCTTATCCTGCTTATCATCCCTTTCCATTGTTTTCTTAGGGGCCCCTTTTCTACTGACTTGAGAGGGCTCCCTTTTTTAGAATATGCTGGGGCCAGCAAAAGGTTAGACTAAGCAATAAATTCCCCTTGAGTTAGCAGAAGGTTAAACTAATGGATGCTATTTGCAACTTCCTTTTGAGTTAGCAAAACCAAGAGATGTTATGGACCCCTTACATCTTGTATTCTTTAGCTTACTATCTCAGGGTTGAAACTGGACGAGCATTGTGGCCCTTTTCAACCCAGGCCATTCTATGATAGCCTCATTCAGGTTATACAGTTTGATTCTGCACATCAGAGGGCAAAATCATTGTATCATTCTGGTTGGAAAGACCACTAAGGGCATCAAGCCCAATTGTCAACCTAATATAAGCTGGTTTGCTTAGTAGAAGGGATTGGTACCTTAGTTTTAAGAAGCAATATCTCTGTTCAGCAAAAGGAATCCATAAGTGATAGTTCTTTCCATTTCAGCTTCAGTGGGTGAACTGTCTTGTTTTTCCTCAAAACCTGCACACTGGGGACATAATAGAATACTTTTATCTTCTGCCTCAATGATTTTGCCTTATGAGAAGTACCAGAGTCACAATAGAACACTTTTATCTTTTGCCTCAAAACGTGCAAGGACATTTTCCTCAGGTTCCGCATACATTGTTTCTAAAAAGTGGCTCCCTATGGCCTAATAGGCAATGGAAATCTTCCAAGCTGGGGAAAAGTGAATGAAAGTGAGTCACAACTTTAGGTGATGAAGATGATGGAGAAAAAGGGGAAGAAGTAGGTGGGCACTCGACCACCCTAAATATCACTGGCCATGCCCAAAGGGACATTAGCACCTAACTGAGACCTTGAAAATGAGTGCATATGTGTGCCAACGCCTCCCCCGAGCTCCTCTGCTCCGGACTGACCCACCGCCGTGCCCTGAGCAGCTCCCCATCACACCTGTGCTGCAGACCCCTCACAGCTTCCCTGCCCTTCTCTACACGCTCTCCAGGGCCTCACTGTCCTTCTCACAATGAGAACACAGCACTCGAGGTGTGGCCTCACCAGTGCCAAGTACAGAGGAACGCAATATTACCGACACGAGCCAGCAAAATAACTGAGCACAGCCACGCAGATAAAGGACGTCGGGGGGACGCAGAGCCGAAAAAAGACCCCGCCCCAAAATGGCCGCCACCCGCTCCCCTCAGCGCAGAGTTCCCGCCATGCCCCGCGCACCTCCAGCACCACGGTGCGCATGGCGCCGCCCTCCGATAAGTAGGCGCGGGTGTCGGGGTGCTGCCAGTGCGCGTGCGCGGCGGCCAGCGCTGCGTGGCACCCCTGGGCCACTACCGCACCCAGCGACCACGAGCGGGCCAAGTCTTCCCGCAGCACCACGTACTGCACCAGCGCAGCCGTCGCCGCTCCCGCCGCCGTCCCGGGCGCCGCCATGCTGCTGTACGGGGAGGCGTGGTCGCGCATGCCGAGTGCTGAGAGGTACGGGCGCCGCCATTTTGTTGTACGGCAAAAGCGAGGGCGCGGTGGTAACGTAGTTCCGGTGGCGCCGGAGCGCGAAGTTTGAGCGCTGAGGTGAGAGCGGGGCCCTGGGCCTTGGCAGCGGTCGGGGCGTCCCGGCTCCCCGATCCCCTATCGGTGGGGGTTCACGCTTTCTTTCACCCCACAGGTCTTCCTCGTGAGGGGTCCTTAGGCTGCTCGGCTCACGCTCTCTCCCCCCGTCTCCCTGGGGACTCCTTGTTTGCTGTCCTCAGGAGGCCACGCTGCTCTGTCCCACTGACCCCTCAGTGGGAATCCCCAGGCCCTGCTTCCCCTCCTTATCCTCCCGTCTCTCCCTTTATGAGGTCCCTAGTTCTCCTGTCACCTCCCTGTTCCCATATGGGGACAGTCCGAGGGGTTCCTGTCACCTCCTTGAGGCTGGTGTAAAAGGGTGTATGAGGGTATGGGGATGTATGAGGGTATATAAAGGGATGGAAATTATAACGTGCTATTTCATCCTTCAGGACTGCCCCTGTGTGAGGCCAGCCCTGGAGACAGACCTGCCCCCAGGCTTCATGGAGGAAGGACGAGATGGTGATGGGAAGGAAAATGCCATGCATGGAAGATCTCTCACCGCTGCCTCCCAGGATGGAGGAGGGCGAATGTCTGCGGTCCCACTTGCACAGGGGAAGGTGGAAGGAGGGAAGGTGTATTCAGGAGATGGTGAGCTTGTAAAAGTCACTTTCTGCATGATATGCAGTGCTACAGACTTGGGACAGAGTTCATTCTGGAGCAAAGGGGGCCCAGGGGAGACCTTATAGTTCTCTCCAACTCCCTGAGAGGCAGTTGTGTTGAGATGGGGATTGTCCTCTGCTCCCAGGTAAAAGTGATAGGACAAGGGAAGGTTCAGGTTGGTATTAGGAAACGTTTCTTCTCCAAAGGAGCAGTGATGCAGTGGCACAGCTGCCCAGGGAGGTAGTGGGGTCACCATCCCTGGAGGTGTTCCAGAACCATGGGGATGTGCACTGAGGAATGTGGTCAGTGGACATGGTGGGATGGGTTGGGGTTGAGCTTGGTGATCTTAGAGGTCTTTTCCAGCCTGGTTGATTCTATGATTTTGTCCAAGTATGTTCTTTCACAGGAGCTTGGGACCAGGAGTGACACCCTGGCTTGTAATGTGTCCCAAATTTAGAGTATGGGCACACCAAACAAGCTGCTCTTGATTAGAAGTGAAACTAGAGGTTGCAGATCTGTGCAGGGCTGTGTATTTGGTAGCTTACTCTGCTTCTCAGGATGTTAGCTAGCTAACATGGGAAATGCCTGGTCCTTGTTGCCTACTGGCATTCAGTCTTGGTGTTTAAAATTCTCTGAAGCAGGTCTTTGCCTGTCCTCTGCCCCTGAGGAGTTGCACATAGTTTCTTTAAGTAACTATACTGGGCCAACTTTGGTTTGGGTCACACTGCAGATGCCTACGAATGACAGCTGGATTTTCTGAGCATGTGTTGCTGTTCCTTGCAGGGGTGTTGGGTTATCTGGAAATGCTGGAGGCACAGGCTCATGAGTTAGGCCTGAAGCAAGAAGAGAAGGAGCAGCAAGAAAAGAAGCTCAACAGACTGAAAGCCAGAGTGCAGGAGCTGAGAACCCGGAGGGATGAGCTTCAGGCTAAAGTGGAGCTGCAGGAGAAGAGGGTGAGAAAGGGCTTACTGCAGAGATCTGACAGAGGGGCTCTGGTATGCTCCTGCCCTCACAGCATGGATTTACTGAGGTTCTTAATTTATTTTCTCTTTTTAAGTAATGTACAGTTCTGGCATCCCCAGTTCTCAGTACAGTGTTGTCCAAGACTGCTGGATCTTTATGCTTTGAGCTTGTGTGGCCATTTATGAGCTCTTTTTCCCTTCTTCAGCTTGAAGTGCTGCCTCACATTTCTCAGAGCTGGGTTATTTCTCTGTAGCTCGAGTGTGTTCCCTGCAGGTGACGTGTTTGGTGTCGTCAGTTCCTGACCTGTCTCATCTTTTGGCTTTTGTAGCTTCTTGACAAGGAAGGAGTCGTGACAGATCCAGCACGGCCCAGTGCTCAGACTGTTCTGGAGTGGAAAGTGAAGAGCATTAAGGCCATGCTGCAAGTCTTTTACCTCACAGGTAATGCCTCAAGGCTTGTGTGAGTCCTGGCTGCATTTTTGGGGTGCTAAATTTTGAATGATGAATTTGATGTCAAGTGCAATTTCCCTATTAATGTTGCTTGTGTTGTGCTTGAAGCCTTCAGTCTGAAAGCATAGGAAGAGCAGTAATGTGCTGCAATTCTCTGCCTCTCTGGGAAGGCTTCTGGGATTTTGCAGAAACTCTTGCTTACTGAGCTGCATCATTTGGACTAAGATCTAGATTTGAGGAAGCATGTGAATGCCTTAGTTTTAAAATCTTTGGGCATTAGGTTAAATATTCAAGGGTCTGGGTCTTCCAAGCAAACTTAGAATGCCAGCATCCTCTTTTCAGCTATTCCTGACCTTGGTTTAATGTATTACTTTTTTTGTTTCCAATGCAAGTCACCTTTGCACTCTCTTCCAGTCACTGGAAGGAAGGACAGTGTGGAAATACAAATCTGATGTTGGTGAGGTTGGGTTGAGCCCATGAGCCCTTCTGCCATTCTTTATGGGGCAGTTTTCTTTCACCTAGGGCAGCCTGTTCTGCACCGTGGGAGCCAGGACTGAGTTTGAAGTGCCACAGCGTAGCTCAGTTAGTGACAATTTAATCTGCTTGAATTTATCTGATGTCCCTTTCTAAAAAGCTGCTGTGTTTTATGTCCCTGAACTCTTGCAAGTCCTTAATCCTGCCAGGGAGCTCCTCAGGCTGCCATGCTGAGAGCATACAGCCCCTGCAGCCTGTGCTGTCCCAGCAAAACTTCCTTGAGGTGACAGGTTTCTATTAGTGCTCAGTAAAACCTCTCTCTCTGCACCCAAGGGATCAGTGGGAAGCTGACCAAGCAGGGAGTGTGTTTCTGCATCAGCACTGCTTATGAAGGCACCTACCTGGATTCCTATTACGTGGACCTCCTCATCAAGCCAGAGGTGAAGATTCAACGCCACTCTGTCCCCATCTTCATCCCACTGGAGCAGATAGCCAAGAAGTACCTGCAGACGGACATCAGGCGCTTCCTGTCCGTCCTGTGGGAGCACCTGAACGCTTACGTTGGGCGGAGGCACCAGGCAGACCAGTTGGAGGTACCAGTGGTCACAGCAACAATGCTTGCCCACCTTTTTGCCTTTTATCTGCCAAAAGTTAACGAGTTTGCACTGCTCTGGAGTGCTGGGGGAAATCTGAGTGGTTTTCTTTACATAGAGCGCTCACCATTCTGGTTTTCAGAGCACAGCAAATGACTGCATGACTATAAACTCCATTGCCTGTGTCATTGGTATGTGTGTACTTGGATGTCTTGTGGCTCGTTTAAAATACACAGCCAAGTGCAGCTGTCGTCTTCCTCTGAGGTCCCTAAACTGAAGGAGCTGTGCTTTTGTGAAATGCCTCTGGAAGACGTGACTTAAAGATGTGAATGAGCACTTGTTTATTTCAGACTTTTCCTCAAGGTACAGCCACACCAGGGCATGCCAGCCTGGTGCAGGGGGTGGGGGCCCTGTCCTTTGTTAGCTCCCAGCCCCACGCTGATGCACTCCTGCCTTAGCTTTGTCTTTCAGAAATTGTTTTTGTCCCTTCAGGAGCGCTTTTCAGACCACATAGAAGGAACTCTGCAGAGGAACTCTTTGTGTAACTTGCTGGTCTTTAATTACACCGTGTCAAGTGACAGCAAGACCTTTCCATTCAACGTGAGGCTGCTTTATGGAGACCTCTGTTGCAGCCTCCCTACTGAAGCCATCATTTCTTGTACACGTAAGTGGGCAGTGCAGGTGTCTGGGTGTGTGGGGAGGGCAGGCCGTATTGCAGTGGATGAGGTTTTCTCTAGTTCAGTCTGGGGACAGAAAGAAGCATGCTGTCATATTTATTTGGGAGGAAAGATCTTTTCTGTAGCATGGGGGTCAATGGCAGGGAAATAAGATAAGATCTTATTATCATGAGAAATTTCTTTCAGTGCAATTAGTGAAATGATTAATGTGGGCACTGAGGCCTGCTGTTGGGATGTTTCACACTCTGCAGCCAGGCCCTAATTGGCCACATCAGGTATGCTGGCACATCCTGCCATACAGCAGCATAGATGGAGGCAGGAGGGAGATTTACAACCTCTTCCAAAGTGCCAGTGGTATTGTGAAATGCTCCTAACAAAGATCTCTGCCTGGAAACCTTTCCTGATACCACTTATTCCCCCATCTTTTGAAGGATTCTCCTCGTGTTGTACAGACTGGCTGATACTGAGTGTCTTCTGCAGCCTTAGCAATATGGCATGGCTTAATCCTGATCTGTGCTGTTTTATGACTAATTCCTGCAAGTGCCCAGCTGAGCTGAGGAGGCATTTTCCCATCTCTTCCTCGTGGTTGTGCAGAGCTGTGGGCCCACCTGAGCCACCTTGCATCCCATTCACCTGCCCATGTGGGCTGGCTAGGCTGCAAAGCTAGATGGAGCTCTGAGCAGAGCAGCTCGGGCTTGTAATCATTCTGCCAGCAGTCATGGTCTGAGGCCTCCTTCTGGTAGCAGAACCCAGCTGTGATGCTCCTTGGGTTGCAGTTAGTGCACAATTCCTCCTGCAGCCTGATTCAACGGCTCCTCCTTTACTTTCCCCACAGAAATGGCCCCTTTATAGGTGAAGTTCTGCCCTTGCTCAAAAACATCAGTGTCTTTTGAGTTGATAAGGCAGCTGGGTAGATGTGGTGCTCCAACACCGTTGGCCCCTCAGGAGCAGCCCTTCAGCTCTCAGTGTTTGTTGAGCTGTTTGTGCTCTCTAGCAGTTCGGTTCCCCTGGGGGAGATGCAGGGTTAGGAAGGAGAAAGAAGGGTTATGAGAAGAAAAACTGTGGCCAGGCAGGAAACACCCTAGGGGAAAGGGAAGAATGAGAAGCAAATAGTTTTATGCTGGTAAAACTGTGTTCCTCTCCCCACTGATGCGTCTACTTCTGTCTCCTAGCTGGCACTCTTCCATTGCTAGCAAAGATGGCAGCAGCTCACTCAAACGCTTTTCGACAGACAGCTCTGCACAAAGCCTTCGACTCTATCATCAATGCTAAAGAAAGCCTGGACTGAGCACTGTAAGCTACCTTGACTCCTCAGTAACGTGCCTCTCCTGACTTCTTCTGCCTGTGGGGAATGCTCTCAAAATGAAAATGTTTGCCATGGACTGCAGCACTGCTGCTGGGAACCCCCCAGAGGAGCAATTGGCCCAATTTAGATCTTGAAAGCAATATTTCCTTGATGATTTGGGGTGTCTATTGCAGGTAATCTTTCCTCAGCACTCTGCTTCTCGCTTGTCATTTAATTCCTGCTCGTGATGCATCACGGTGTTTGGTGCCCCGGAGCTCCACAGTCATGGAGGATGTCTCACAATTAGAAGGAGAAGCGATATTAAAACATCAACAGCTTCTGGAACAAGAACCCTACAGCTCATTGCACGTATCCAGGCAGCAGAACTCAGCAGGGAGCAAGCAGAGTAACCTGTGCCCTCCTTCTAACAGCCAGGAAAGGACTTCCAGTTAAAACTGGTACAGGCTGGAGGACAACCTGGATTGTTATGGCAATCACTGAACCTTCCTTGGACAGAAGTGAGGTTTCCTTTTGCTAGCAGCAGCCTGTGCCCTCATGTGAGCTGCATTAACTCAGCACATTAGCAGTGAGTTTTCCAGAAGATTTCACACCGGCGGTGGCTTTGGACATCCTGTTTTCTTCCTGTCGTAGCAGAACTTTCCTGGCGTCCCATCTTTGTGCTTCCTCCAAGTTTGGATGGGATCTTGAAAGCTTGCTGTATTTTATGAGCACTCTTTCAATGTGTTAATTTCAGTAACATAGAACTTTTACTGTGGTATTTTTAAGAATCTCCTATTGATTTTTTTTCTAGACTTAAACCAGATGGCTGGGACATCAGGATTTTCTCCTGCCCCGTTTTTGTGCCAAAACTGCATGTGCAAACTTCACAGTTTGTTTTTAAATTGTCTTAAAAAAAAAAGCTTAAGCTTTGTCCAAACCAACCTTTTTATATATAACCTCTGGTGTTCGGATGTTGCAGCTCCAGGAAAAATTCCCTGATGACCCTAGGAATTGAGTAATGGGGTAGGGATCAAAATCTTGTATCATTCTTTCTGTGATTTCCAGTGTTTTGATACTCTGCAACAAGAGAAAGGAGCAAAAGCCACCAGAGGCATCAATCTCCCCTTTGGGAGCCCCTCCAAACCCAGTATCCCCTCGAAGAGGTGGTGAAGCCCTTCTCAGTATCCCCACAACCCCAGAACGCAGCAGACGCAGAACCAGGCTTTGAAATTCAGCTTTCTATTCAAGAAACTAATGGCATAATTACACTCTGTGTGCCTCCCTTCCCCCCTGGCCCTGGCAGCATCACGCTGAATGCAGTCCCTTCTCAGCCAGTCCCAGGTCCTCTTTCCCATCAAGCAGTGACAGCAGCTGACCACAGCGTGCATGGGGGGGCGAACAGGCACAGTTAAAAATATAAATGTCAATCTGTACTCTTATGTATATATATTTATATATCTGAAATACGCAATATTCTGTATTTTTGTTTCTTTTTCTCTGAGCCCAAGGTGGTACTGCACTCTCTCTCCCCGATCTCCTAACTATGTTGTTTGTGACAAGGATGAACTCGGTATGGACTAACAGCAAAGCCCGGATGCTCCTGTGTGTAGGAGAGACGTGTCTTTCCATCCGACCCTGAGTTTGGATCTCCTTGTGCTGAGTGCATGGCAGCTGGGGCCCACAATGCTACTTGGATGCCAAACTGCTGCCCCCCCTGCAAAGCCTGGGGTGCCTGGGGAAAGGCAGCCCCAACCCCACACCCACTGAGGGCTGTGAGCTTGTGTGCAGGCACGATGGAGCAAAGGAACTTTCCAGCAGGGACTTGGAAAGGGTTGTGCAAAGGGGTCGATTTCTCAAGTTTGGTTTCAGATCCAGACCTCAGTGGGACAGATGTCCCCGCCGGCTGTGGTGCTGGGCACTGGGCCCCCCTGGCCACCCCTCTGGGTGCTGGGCAGACGGTGGCTGTGCTGGCTGGCAGGAGCCAGGCCCTCAAGAGCTGTCTACCACCTGATGGGGCAGGGTGACGGATGAGCCGTTGACGAAGGAGCCCTGCTTCTCCCGGCCCTTGAGGAAGAAAGTGAGCAGCTCCCCTTTGCCCTTGACGTAGATGGCCCCACGGCGTACAAAGCGGAAGCCGTACTCCTTCAGGATGAGGTGCGTCTCCTCTACCACCTGCAGGGACGAATGGACACAGTGGGAGGCTGGGGAGACCCTGCCCAGCACACAGCACAGGTAGCATGGACCCCACAAACCCCAGGTTTACCCACCCACCAAGCTGTCCGTTGTCTTGAGGTGCCCTGCTTTTAGCCCCCTTGCCCAGTTCCCAGCTTAGAGGAGCTGTCAACTACTTCCAGCCCTGCTGAATACTGCTGGCAGTGCTTTCCCTTCCCGTGCAAAGCACAGAGCACTTCAAGGGCTGTGAATACTTCTGAATAATTCTCAGTTTGTCCCCTTGGTTGCCCAGGTCGTGCTGTCCCACCTGTATGTTCCCCATCACACCAGTGGACTCCATCCTGCTGGCCACGTTCACTGTGTTGCCCCAGATGTCGTAGTGTGGCTTGCGGGCACCAATGACTCCTGCTAGCACAGCTCCCTTGTTCATGCCTGTGCAAGAGCAGGGTGGGTGTCACCTCTGTGCTTGGTGACATCCAGATAGCACACCCAGGGTCTGCTCTGAGGGACAGGGCATGAGGTCACCCCAGGCCTCATGAGGTCCCACCGCTCACAGGGAAGGAGGGGAGAGCCCCACGTCCCCAGACTTGCCTATGCGCAGCATGAAGTTGTTGAAGGACTGGTAGTTGATGTTCATCAGTGTCACCTTCATGGCCAAGGCAAAGTCGGCGAGGTCAGCTAAATGCTGCCAGCGCTCCTTATCCGAGAGGGTCTCCTTCTGCAAGAGCAGTGGGTCAGGAATGCCCCCCTTGCCCACCATCCCCTGCCTCAGGAACCCCTTACCTTGGTGCTGTAGCCGTTGGTGTTGGCATCAGGAGTCACTCCAGACGCGGCCATGTAGGTGCTGCCGATGGTTTTGATCTTGGTGATACACCGGAATTGGGGTTCGTCCAGGAGCTGAGCCATGAGGATAGGTCTTCAGGCACCTGAGGCTATTGGCCACAGCCCTGTGTTGCCCCCATGACCAGCCCCAGCCCAACTCACTGCGTCAAAGTCAGAGATGATCTCGTTGAGGAACCGCAGGCACTCGATGCCCCCGTTGTTGATGCTCTCCTCTGTGTAGAAGTCAGCAAAGTTGGGGAGAGAAGCAAACATGACGCCGATCTCATCGTAGGACTGGCTGTACAGCTCCTGGGGAGGAGAAGGACAGTGGCTGTCAGCTGGAGATGTGGCTATCAGATGGAGATGTGCCTGCACCTCCAGCAAGCCCAAAGCCTCCAACCCCAACCCTCCTCCATCTGAAAAAAATAAGGGTGCTCAGCAGTCCTCCTTTGCAAGGTCAAGAAATCTCCTCCGTCCAGCCAAAAGATGTTTGACTAGAGTCTTTGGCAACCTCTCCAGATACAGAGGCCATGAACAAAAAAAAAATAAATGGGTTGAATCACTACATATAACCAGGATTCTTGGGGATGCTGCTTGTGGGACAGAAGGTCTGTGTTCCTGGGTGTCCCCTCACCTCGTCCCGCTTCTTGGAGCCCAAGAAGTGCCGGGCCACGTGCTCAGGCAGCATGTTGGTGACAAGAGCCTCGTTCCAGCGCCGCATCTCATAGACTCGCTCCTTCTGGTCGTGGACATCGATCTTCCAGAGGAAGAGTGTCCTGGCCAGCTTTTCTACCTGCAGGCAGGGGGAGATGGGTGCAGCAGGGCCTCACCAGCACTAGGAGCATGCCAGCTGGTGTGGGGCTGATCCAGGCTTGGATGGAGGCTATGGGGCAAGGTGAAACCGTAATGGGAGACATAAGACCTCATGTGAAGGGCAAATGGGACCTTCACGGGGAAAGCACAGGCTCTGGAGCCACCATGATGCTGCCTGCTCTAAATCTTATGGGGGAGATGGAGGTGCCAATGTAGTTCTAGGCTTCCGTGGAAAAGAGCTGGAGGTGGTTCCACAGTTGGGGACCAACCGTGCTTTGTTGGAGCATGCAGAAATCAGGCTCGGGGCTGTAGTAACATCACAGAGAGGAAGGAAGAAAGGGGCCTCCTAAGGGGGCTGAGTCACTCACGTGGCGAGAGAAGTAGTAAAAGCTGAGCATCACGATGAAGATCATGGCTGTCATGGAGTACTTGGAGGGGACCAGCGAGGACCTGCTGGAGGATGTGGCAAGGTGTAGGTGGGTGGTGAGCTTGGCCGTGCCCCCTCACCATGCTCCTACCACCCCTTACATGCTCTGCTGGCTGCGGCGCCGGTCGTACTGATCGAAGATGTGCTCCCAGGCGTAGATGTTGACAGTGCCGGCTGCCCCAGTGATCAGCACCATGAGAGTCAGCTTGACCATGTGGCTGACCTGCACCAGCATGATGGTGGCCACCAGAGCCAGCACGGCGATGTAGCTGTAGTACTTGGGCTGCTCCCAACAGCCGCCTGGCCGTGGTGGCACCACCGTCCCGTTGCTTGTCCTGCTGTAGTCCTGCTGACAGCTGAGCTGGGGGCATGAAGGCAGGATGAGGACGGGGGGCAGGGAATGATGATGTCCCCCCAAGAGCTGGAATACTTTGTGAGAGAGTGGAGGACACCCCAACTGCCAGGTGCTAAAATCCTCTCCAGCTTCAGTGCAGCCCTCATTGATTTAATGATTGGCTGTGCATGGGACTGTGCACAATTATGGACTGCTGGGACACAGAAGGTCAGAGAGGGTTCCTGCGCTGGCCCCATGTCTCACCATGTCCACAATATCAGCCATGGTGACAATGATGATGGCAGCCATGGCCCAGGTGTTGCGTGCCCAGCGAGTCCTGTCAATCCAGGTGGAGAAGGCCACGAGCTTTTTGGGGAAGACCTGCCGGGAGAAGACAAGGGACTTCACCCAGGTGGGACACATCATCACGGTGGCCATAGAGAGAACAAATATTGGATAATGGGGCGGCGCAAAATATAGATGGGGAAGGTGTTGGGGGAAAGAGCAGCTCCCAAACCTCACCTATCCTCAGTATCCCCACCCCCTGAGGCTGCCCATCCCGCTCTCACCCGGGGAAAAATAGCAGCCAGCGAGCAGAGGGTAAGGATGAGCAGCAGGATCTCCCCCACCGCGAAGGTCACATAGTTGGCCACCAACCTGTCGCAAAAAAGACCCAGGATGGGACAGACCTGAAGCCCTGCAGGGCTGAAGGTGAGCTGGGGCAATCCATCCCCAGTGCCTCCCCAACATACCAAGGGTCGATGAAGACCTCCACCAAGGCAGTGAAGAAAAGGACAACACAGGAGCAGCTGAAAGCAGCACCACTCTGCTTCTCCTTCTCCACTGAGTAGCGCGTCTCCATCTCAGGGTCAATGAAGCGCATGGAGAGCCGGAAGGTGCTCTTCCCCTTCAGCCTGCCAGCAACATTGGCCATCAGCACCCAACAGGGCTGGGCTGGGTCTCGCTGCCGGCTGGGTGACTCACGCCTGGACAGACTCGCGCTCCAGCAGGGCCTCGTTGAGCAGCTTGTTGAGCTCCTGCTCATTCTGCGACGCGTCGATTACCCGCTCAGCCAGGTCCCGGAGCCGCAGCCGGCGCCGCGGGTTGGGGAAGGATGGGTTCACAGCCTGCGCCACGAAGCAAAGCATCAGTGGGAACGCTGAGGCCATCATGGTAGTCTCCAAAATACAAGCTGAAGGGGGTGCTTCCCACGCACTGTACCTCTCCATCCTCCTCCCCGTTCTCCAGGGTGCCCCTCACCCTGGCGTCGGACTCATCGGGTTCCTCAGGGCTGGTGCGCGCCAAGCTGGCACTGCCGTTGCGCTCCTTGGTGTTGATGAGCAGCGGGGAGCCTCCATGGGATGAGGTCAGTGACAGCTTCTGCAAGGCCGAGGCGGTGGCTCACATTGTGCCAAGGATGCCTGCTGCGGTGGCACCGGTGCCCACGCTGCTACTCACCACCCCATTGATGCCGTTGCGTAGAGGCTGCTTGGGCACCACGATGAGGTAGGTGACAATGCCCTTCTCCTTCAGGTACTCGCAGCGAGAGCCACCCTCGCCTGGCTCCACCTCGAACTCGCCCTTCAAGCAATCCATGGTGCTCTGTGAGATGTGCACACGCCTGCGGGACACGAGGTGCAGTGAACCGGGGCCACCCTTATGCCTATGGGATGGTGACACCACGTCTCATCCCCACTGAGAGATGCTCACCCAGGGATGCCACCTGCCTCCATCTTGTTGGCCACGGTGACGTCGGTGGACCACACGTCGTACTGCCAACGCTTCTGGCCCAGCACGCCGCCCAGCACCGTCCCGCTGTGCACTCCCACACGCATGTCCACCGCTGTCTTGGTCTTTTCCCGCACGTAACTGGGAGGGTGACATGGGAGCCACTCACTACCCCTTCTTCTTCCAACCCCAGGGCAATAACACTTTCCTTAATCGAGTGCACTTGGCACAGGAAATGTGACAGAAAAGGGTAAGGGTGGTGTGCTGCCTTGGAGAAGCCCAATGGGGTGACCCTGGTGGGGCACCGGGGAGCCCCTGCCTATATCAGTACCCATCACTGGGTCCTCTCTGCTTTTTGCCAAATCCCAAGGACACCTTTGGGACAGTGACCAGCACACAATAGACACGATGAGGACATGCTGGAAATGATGACAAGAACACAGTGAGAACAAGGACAAGGACACTGTCATTGGCATTGGCACGGGTTGCTGTGGGTGCCCCAGGCCCCATGGCAGTGCCCAAGGCCAGGCTGGATGGGGCTTTGGGCAGGCTGGTCTATGGGAGGTATCCCAGCCTACAGCATGGGACTGGAACTGGTTGGGCTTCATGGTCCCTGCCAGCTCAAGATCTCTTCCAGCCCAAGTCATTCTATGATTCTAAGTTATGCTGGAAGCAGTGATGAGGACATATTGGGAACAATGACAAGGACAACCTGGGGACAATCTGAGAAGCTCTTACGAAATGGCTTCCACCATGGCAAGCCCCATCATGATGGAGCAGACAGCATGGTCCTCCCGGTAGTCGGGCAGCCCACAGATGCAGTAATAGCAGTCACCCAGGATCTTGATGCGCAGTTGGTGGTATTTCTGGGGAAAGGGGCATGGTATCAACCCCCTCCCCATGACTGGGCTCCCCCCATCCCTCTCCCAGGCAGGGTTTGCTCCATCCTTCCCCATGCCAAGCTTTTCCACGCTCACAAGGGACACAAATAATCCGATTTTCCATTCCCTCCCTGCTTCCCTGAAGATTTGGCCAACTGCAGCCCAGATGGTGGGGGCCCCCACCCCTTCCCCGTCCTATTTTTGCCAGTAAAAAAAATGGGGCATCTCCTGCCCATCCCCTTGCTGATGAGCGGGGACACTCACGGCTGCCAGCTTGTCGAAGCGGGCGAAGAGCTCGTTGAGGAGCTTCACCAGCTCCTGGGCGCTGCAGGATGAGGAGAGCTGCGTGAAGCCCACGATGTCTGCAAAGAGGATGCTGTGGGGAGCGAGGCGTTACAAATATGCTCCTCACAGGGAGAATTTGCAGCGAGAATTTCTTTTCCCATAACGCAGACGTGACTGCGGCGATCGGTTCAGCTATGTCCCCAAAGGCTATTTTGGGACGTGGCTGGAAACGATGCTCTGCAAATCATGTCTGGATCAAAAAGTGGCCCCAAGCCATAGTCTGGCTGGCAGCTGTCCCCTGTTACCCTTTGTTGTAGCCACCACCATCCCCTCCGCCCCCCCAATCTCCTTCTAGGGCTTCTCTGGCCCAAGAAATTGAGAGATTTTCCCCACTGACCATGGCATGGGTAGAAGCCAGCCCTACCTGACATTCTCGTGGCGGTACATGTACATGGTGTTGAACTGCTGCATCTCCTTCTGGCTCGGGTCCTTCTTCATATCCTTCAGCATCTCATCTGCCACGTGCTTGGGTAGGATGGAGAGCATCAGCCGCTCCTGGGGGGCAGGGCAAGAAGCTGAGTGTAAGCGCACTGTGCGTGTGCTATTCTGAGCAGCCCCCTCTCCTCTGGGACAAAAGGTGACAAAGTTCAGCCCAAAAACCCATGCCAGCACTGGAGGGTCTGCTGCAATGTCTACTAGTGACAGGAGAAGAGGTGATGGCCTCAAGTTGTGCCAGGGGAGGTTCAGGTTGGAGGTGTTCCAGAACCATGGGGATGTGGCACTGAGAGACGTGGGCAGTGGGCATGGTGGGGTGGGCTGGGGTTGGACTTGGGGATCGTGGAGGTGTGTTCTAACCTGAATGACTCTGATTCTCTGATTTTATGTCCCTGCAAACTGCCCTGGGGATGGGACAACTACACCATGGAGGAACTCTTGATTTAAAGGCATGGTGTGTCCACATGCCACCCCACAGGGCAGCAGCACTGGCCCCAAGGAGGAGTAAACCCATGGCGGACATCGTACTCCCTGCTTTTGCCACAGCTCTGCAGCTGGAAAGGGGATGCATCCCCCAGCTGGCTGCACGTGAGGATCTGTGCTATGTGTAATTAACACTGTTAATGAAGTGGGTTTTCCCTCAGGTTTCTGTGCACAGCGGGGCCGCTGCTGGAGGAACAGCTTCATGTCCCTGCCTGTGGCTTTCAGAGCTGCCACCATACAGACAGCACAGAGAGAGACCCTGCTGCAAGGAAAGGAGACAGGGATTTCCCAAGATGTCCACTGGGGCTTGATGCTGAATAACCCTGAATTCACCCAGTCGCTTTGCCAGCTTCAAAGCTACTGACCAGCCAATGCATGGGGCAGTGCTGGTGGGAAAAAGGCCACAAAGTGCTCCCTGTGATGTGGGTGTTGTGCTGGTTCTTCCTCCCACCCCAAGAAGCACGGTGCTGACAGTGGGCTGGACCCGACACACATCTCTGTTGCCATTGGGAGCAAATTGCTGGCAGCGGATCAACAAGATAAGAGATGGGAGATGGGGAGAGAGGCCCCAGATAAGGTGCTAAAATTAGCTGGGCTCATAACTGGATGCCGCCTGGAGAAAATGAAGCTTTCCAACTGCCTTCTGTCAACACCATGCAGGTTCTCCACCTGCTGTTATCACTCCTGTCCCCTCAGCAGGATCAGCCCCGGGAGAAGTGAGGTGGCCAAGATCCCAATGGGGACATTGCTGGCTGGGGGTGGGGAAATGCTGCAGGGCCATGCCTGGTGATGGAGACTTCTTGTGTGGCCATGTCTGGGGACAGAGAAATGTTACGTGGCCACACCAGATGATGGGGATGTGACATATGGCCCTGCCCAAAGATGGTAGGGACATCCTGCATGGCCATGCTTGAGGACAATGACCTGCCATATGACCATGTCTATAGACAGAGACATTCCAAATGTCTGTGACTGGGCAGGGACCTGCTGTATAGCTGTAATCATTCTTGAGGACAAGGACCTGCCACATGTCCATGTCCAGTAATGGAGACCTGCTGCCCGGCCATGCCTGCAGACCTGCAACACGGCTCTGCCCAAGGACAGTGACATGCCACATGAACATGCCCAAACAAAGGGACGTGCCATGTGTCCATGCCTGATGAATGGGACCTACAGTATGGCCATGCCACGTGGTTGTGTAACGGGGTAAGGAACTGCCACGTGGCCATGCCCAAAGCTGGGGACCTGCCACCTGCTTACACACGAGGACAGGGACCTGCCACGGGGATGGGGACAGCTTGGAGGTGACCGTGTCAGAAGCTGTGAGGTCCTGGAAGAGGACAATTACATGGTGAGTCCTCACTGAATCGCAATTCCCACCTCTGGTCCTCTTATCCTTGTTGCCAGCCACCTGTGCCCCATCTTGCTGTCCCCATACTGTCCCCAGCCACGGCTCCTACCTGCTGCTGGCTCTGCTCCTCCAGGTTGAGCTTGACCTCGAGGGACTGCCGTGCTTCCAGGAAGGCCTTGCGGTGCTTGCGGTCAGCCATGTAGTAGGACATGGTGCCCACCGTGATGGCACAAAGGTAGATGGCAATGTTGGACAGGATCTGTGGGGATGATTTGGGGTGAGAAAGCATTCTGATGATGGAAGACATGAAATCAACTCTATGTGCAAGCCTCTGTGCCACAGCCGTGGATAGCTGCTGGGGGGGACTCACTTCACTGCCATGAAGCGGTGGCTCTGCAGGAGAGGTTGACAGGAGACCTCAGGGCCCCTGAGGGCTGACTGCCTCATTAAACCTTGCAGAGGTGTTTTGGAAAATGGCAGTGGGTCCACAGGGATAGGAGCTGCCCTGGGGACAGTTACGCAGGAGCTGAAGTATACAAGCTAATGAAAACACAGCCAAATCCTAAAAATGTCCATGCTCCCATCCCTTCCAGCAGCCAAAACCATGGCTATGAGGTGGCTATGAAAGGTGGATGTGGCCAGGTGCTGCTGGCCATGAAAACCCATTCTGTTTGCTGTGAGCGTGGTGCTGGACCTGGCCCATATGTCAGACTCCATCAATGGGACAGTGGAAACAAGAGCAAGAGCCCTTCGTGGAAAGTATGCCTGATGAGTGAAAGAATTCAGTTTGTTTAGTCTAGAAAGGCTAAATGTGGCAGGAAGGACACGATGGCAGGTTGCAGCTCTGCTGAAGGCAGCTCTGAGGATTTGGAGAAGCCCTCCCATACCAGAGCACAAGCTGAGTGACAGCCTGTCTCCACTGGGGACTTGCCACCATGCTCAGTGTCCACCTTCTGACCCCTACTCCCCAGCCCTGCATCCCAAAGCCCAGCTCTCATGGCTTGTGCCCATCCCCCGTCCCTGCAGCTCGGGATTCCCGGGAAGCCCCACTATGGCAGCTGGCAAGTGAGAACCATCTGGAGGTGGGCACGGAGAAGAAACCCTCAAACCAGCCGCCTCTCTCTATTTTTAAGCAGTTGTCATGACAATGCACCACTCCGCCGAGCTCAGCACTGTTTGGCACACATAGGGTCACTGGGAACCTCGCCTGGATGGAGACATGCCTACCCCAAAACCCCACGTCGCATGGCCATATATACAGCAGCCAAGCACATCCTTGTGCTGTGCCAGGGATGCTCAACTCCCAAACCATCCAACAGGTGCTCCAAGGTGGGCCGCAGACCGTGCCATTTTCCTCTGGCCCCACCAGTGTCTTGCAGGGGTGGAAGCCATCCAAACTGGGGCTGAGTCAGTGGCCCAGCCCAGTGAGTGACAACGAAGCCATGGGCAGGGGATGGAGACCCCATGGTAGGATGAGAGGTAATGGCTTGAAGTTGTACCAGGGGAGGTTCAGGTTGGATATTAGAAACAATTTAATCTGCAGAAGAGCAGAGATGCAGTGGCACAGATGCCCAGGGAGGCGGTGGGGTCACCATCCTTGGAGGTGTTCAAGAAGCACAGAGGTGTGGCACTGATTGATGTGGGCAGTGGGCACGGTGGGTGTGAGCTGGGGTTGGACTTGGGCACCTCAGAGGTCCCTCCCAACCTTTAATGACTCTATGATTCTTTGGACTGAATCCCATGCATCCTGTCTGGCTCAAGGCATGGAGCACCACCAAACCCAGAGCCCCAGCCCCCCAGCCCCATTCAGCCCATGGGCTCATCCTGGACAGCTGAAGCAGGGCAGAAGCTGCTGGCATTTCTCATCAAGCCTCCTGGGCTGCGCCGGGTCCGAGCAGCACCCGCTGCTTCATCCTATTAATAGCAGTGCCCTCGGGGAGCCGTACAAACGTCCATAATAATAAAGCATATGATGTTTATTTCTGGACATAATGTTCCTCTTTTGCAGCAAGCAGAGGCTGAGGCATGCGGCGTTGCCAAGGTTTTGCTGGCCCTGGACTCGCCGTGCCACAGCAATGATGAATGCAGGCGCTGCTGGCCGGGGGGATGCCTGCAGAGCCCCCAGATCCGGGCACGTTGTCACCATCTCACTGCAGTGCCAGGAGCAAAGGCAGGAGATGGAGTCCCTGTTGCATGCAGCTCTTTTGGGTTTGCATTTTTTGGATCAGCAGCAAAACCTGGGAAAGCCACTGCTTGCACGGGTTTCCGTAGCATCTTTTCACGGAGCGCACGTGTGGAGCGGGCAGTGTGGGCACTTCCAGCAGGATTTTCCACTGTCAACAGCCACTGCTGCACAAGTTTGCAGCTCTGCCTTTTATTTTCCCATCCCCTGAAGAAGGCCGTGCTACTAGCAGGCCTGGAAACGCTGTGTGTGCTGCCTGCTGGAGCACCCAAGATGGATGGGCCATGGGGGACATGAGTGGGGCTTGGGTCGCCCTCCTGCTGCAAAACCCATTGCTCTGGGGCAGTGACAACACTGTCTAGCTGCTCCAGGCAAGAATTTCCCAGGAAATATTGAGGTGATGGGCCAAGGACCACTCTACCCCTGCATCCCCATTGTTTGCTGCCATGCACAAAATGGTGGCCCACCCCTATGGCAGCATTTGAGCTCAGGGATGCTGTTTCTCTACATTTTCTTTGGCAGAAAATCATCCCCAAAGCATCCCCAGGCACGGGGCTGAGCAGCCTCCACCAGAGCTTCAGCACTGGGGGGGGGTCGATGGGTCTCAGCCCTGTGAGCTGATGGCTGTGGGGCTGGTGCCTGCTTGGGGCCACTCAGTTCTCCCAGCTCCATCCTCCTGGGAATCCTCTGGTGGCTGTTTGTGAGCCTGGAGGAAGGCCCACGCTGGGCTGCTGCCAGGCTTTGGTTAAAAATGACCTCTTAAAGCCATTTTCGTAATTTAAGGGGAAATCAGCACAAGTGGAGCCCCTTGGCAGGGAGGATGGGGATGCCCTCAGCCCAGCGTGCCTCAATTTCCCCAGCAGCTAAAGCACAGCCCATTTGTCTACACACCCTGGGTAGCTCTTGGGGTCGAATCTGTAGCTTTGAGGCCGGGTCTGTGGCATGGGTGCCATGGGGGTGTTTTAGGGGAGCATCCTGCAGCCAACAAACACCACCACCAGCTCAGAGTGCCCGGATCAAAGCAACTCTAGGCTCAAAGCATAGAGACAGATGTGAACGCAGGGTTAAGCCATGGGAACACAGTTGGCCTCTTCAACCTGACTAGGATGAGGTAGGATGAGAAGTAACGGCCTCGAGTTGTGCCAGGGGAGGTTTGGGTTAGATATTAGGTATCGAAACAGGGAGGTGGTGGAGTCACCGCCCCTGGAGGCGTTGAAGAACTGTGGGGATGTGGCACTGAGGGACGCGGCCAGTGGGCACGATGGGGGGTTTGGGGTTGGGTTTGGAGACCTCAGAAGCCTTTTCCAACCTGAATGATCCTTTATGACCGAGTGAGGTGGTAACGGGTTGACGGTTGGACTTGGTGATTGCAGAGGTCTTTTGCGAGCTTAATGATTTGATGATCGCACGATTTGCCCTACGCCACCCCCGGGGCCCCGCATCCCCCTTCCTGTCCCCGTGTCCCCGTACCTGTCTCAGCAGCGTGCCCTCATCCAGGGCATCCTGCCTCTGTTGGGCGACGGTGACGCCGAGCACCAGCGTGTGGACGCCGCAGGACACGGCGGTGATGAGCACGATGGGCGCCAGGCGCAGCGGCAACGTGATGAAGAAGGAGAAGACGAAGAAGGCCTGCCAGCCCACCGTGTCGCTGGCCTCGGGCGAACGCGAGAAGTTGAGGCCCAAGTAGCAGAAGATCTGGGCCAAGATGAGGACCCAGAGGACGTAGGGCAGGAAGCGACGGGCGGCGCGCTCGGGTAGCAGCCTGTATTTGCAGAGGGCAAAAAGCAACACGTGGGCAGCCAAGCCGGTCCCCGCTGCCAAGGCCGGGGCCAACTTGTCGGCGGCGTAGACCGTGGTGCACATGAGGAGGACGTAGCAATCGAAGAGGGCTGCGAAGACCACCAGCACCAGGAGGGTCTCGTGGCGTTGCCGACGGAAGTAGGTCTGGTAGAGGTTCTCCAGGGACTCGGGAGCGAAGGTGAGGCGCATGAAGCGGGGCAGGCAGAGGCACGGCCCCGAGCTGCGCACTGTCACCTCGTGGGTCCGGCCCACGGCGTGCTCGGGGTCCGACGGCAGGCTCACCGAGTAGTCGGCGGAGTACTCGGCCGAGTACTCGGGCTCCGAGAAATCCCTGTTCCTCGGCATCGCGATGCTTTTCCCACCCCGATCCCGGAGAAACGATGCTCAGCGGGGCATCGCCCTCAGCATCCCCGTTCGGCGGAGCTCCGCGGTCGCTCTCCTTTCCGGGAGCCGCTCTCTCCGGGCTCTCCTCGCGCGGAAGAACGGCCGGAGGAGGCGATGGGGATTATAAATAGCGAAGGCCGGGAGCCGTGCCGAGCCGGCCTGCCCAGCCCCTGCGCACTGCCTGGCTGCGAGCGGAGCGACGCGGAGTGGAAAAATGTCGCGATGCCTCCTTCCCTCCTTCCCTGCCCCTCCTTCGAGGGCAGCCGGCTTCGGGGGCGACCCCGGCGCTGCCCCGGCCCCGCCGCTCCGCTCCCTCCCTCCCGTCCCCCGCCCCAGCCCCGCCGCCTCCCGGTTGCGGCAGCGCAGGTGCGGCCCCGCCGCTCCCGGCAGCATCCTCTGCTCTCCTCCCGCATCCCGGAGGGCTCCGGCCCCGCGGGGGCTTCGCTCGGGGCTTCCCCGGGCCGGGGGAGGGAGCCCACCGCCGGTCGTGCCCGTACCGGTGCGGCCCCGGTGCGTCCCCGCCTTCCGTAACCCTCTCGCTGCCGGCTGCGGGGAGGCCGCGGTACCGCCGGGGTGGGGAGGTGGGGGCGGGTTGGGAGGGTTGTACCGCTCGCGGCCCTTCCTGGGTTGCGGGGAAGGTAGGGGAGCGCGGGGGAAGCTGCTTCGGGGCTTGGGTAGCTGGCAATGCTCCCGTGCCGGTGGGGTTGCTCATATTGCCCCCTCCAGCATCCCAGCCTGCTCTACTCAGTGCTGCTCCTTGCTTCGTCTTTCCCATCCCCTTCTACGCACCGGGGCTACGGTCTCCAAGAGGATGCACATCTCTTTGAAACAAATGCCTTCATCCTCACTTGGTGCCAGGAACCCCAAACCCAGAGCCCAAAGATGCGTGGGCCATCCACCCACGGCCCTCTCTGGGGTGACAGCCGCTTTACAATACCCCCACTGAGGAACACAGCAAACCAAGGCTTTCCCACACGTACGTCCCCTTCTTCTAGGCTGTCCCCATTGAAACCTCTTCAGAAAAGTTCCCTGTCCATCGTGTTTCACTGCTGCTCCACTGCCTGCTCCTCTCTGGCATCCCTGATCTGGAAAACTGGCAATGCTTCAGAGCTGCTGGAGATGCCCTGGACCACAGTCGAAGGAGCCCTGCCAGATACCCATGCATCCTCAGCTGAGCTCTGGGCCAACAGCTGTAATGGGAGACCATCCTGGCTCCACTGCCAGGAGGAGTAATTGCTTCTGCGTAATAATTAATACCAAAATGAGAATGCCGAAGCCGCAGCCCTCAGGAGGCTTCTGGAGTGCTTGGGGTTACCTCTGTCCTGCTGTGGCTAAAGGGAAGTAACTGAGCAGCACAAAGCAGAGCTGACAGTGGCTGGGGGTGATCAGGCACGGGGCCAGACCAGAAATGCCAGTGTGTTCCCCAGCCCCTGCCTCCAGCAAGTGCTGGGAGGAAGGTGGGCAGCACCTGTGGGCCACACTGATGGAGTCTTCGTGCTCCCAGTGGTCTCTAGAAGCAGTTCTCTGTCAAATTTCTGGATGCTGAAGGGAAAGTTGCTTTGTTTGGGGCAGACAGAACCAGCCTGGATAGGAACAGCCTTGCTGAAGGGAGTGGAGTTCAGGGTCCTGAAGGTGCAACATAGGAAGCAGATGAGCAGAGCTGTCAGCGCAGAGATGCTGCAGGATGGAGCCAACCCTCTGCCTCTAGGTGTTTAGGGGACACCTAAAGGGAGGCAGGGAGAGCTGCAGGCCCCACGGCATCCCACATCACATCCCTGCAGAAGCTACATCATTCTCCTTAGCCTGGCTTCCCTCCTGCAGAGTTGATTCACAGCCTCCATCACCCTCGAGGGCAGCTCTTCACCACCAGCCTCGGCCAGACCCAGCTGGGGCGGAGAGAAATGAGTCAAAGGGCAATTAAACATTAACAGCAAGCAGTCACAGCGGGAGGACAACTCATAGGGCTTTCTTGTTCCAAAAGGGGGGGGGGGGAAGGGTTAATTTATAAAAATCACACAACTTCGAAGGTCACCGGCATCGCTAGACGTGACATGCGTGTGTGTAAATCATCCCCAAACATCCAGTCAGCTCAGTGAACAGACAGGAGGAACCCCAGAGCAGCAGCAGGCAGTCACCTGAGAAGCAAACGGAGGGATCGTGCACGGCACAGCAGAGCAGGAGGGCACCTGAGTAGTGGGAACTGAGGCAACCTTTAAACTGCTCCGAGATCTCAGCCTGAAAGTGAAGCGCGCCATTCAGCAACGGGATTATTCACCCTCCTGGGTGGAAAAAAAAATGCAGAGTAATAGGTCTGAAGCCAGAATCAAGTGGTTTCCTGCGCTGGGCGAGTGGGGAGGTTTCCAGTGAACTCTGCAGACTTATAAAACGCGTGGAACAAGACTCAGAGCAACACACTGCAGCTCCAATCCCCGTCCTGCTGACCTCCCCCAGCCCAGCTCTTTATACACACGGCAGAGGATACGTGGAGCTATTGAAACACTGACCCTTAATGACATTTCCCCTTGTGATATCAACACTGGAGGAGCACAAAGTGCTTCTCAGCAGGACAGCTTGTTTCTTCTTCCCAGTAACCTAGCACCAGAAACTAAAGCAAGTGCAAAATGATGCTGGCCTTAAAGACCCTTAATGCTTGCTGCCAAGAAGAGGGGGATCTACTGTTGTTTTATGATATAGTTTGAAGGGGAAACACAGATTAGCTGCCTGTAGTGAAAAAATATATATATTGCACTGACCATTGGAATAAACTTTTGAACTTAGGATACTTCTGGGGGTGAGATATGGGCACAAACACTCACTCACTCACTTACTCACTCAGTGGCTTCAGTTTCACAGCTTAGCGTCTTGTCCTTCTCTGCCACGCTCACGGAGCAGCAAGGTAACAAAACTGACAAAATCACCTGACAAAATCACAGGATCCCAAGGGATCTCCCACTTGAGTCAGGCAGTCACCGTGGCTCTGACCTCTCTCAGGATCCCACTGGCCAGACCCAACCTTCTGCAGGCACCTCCTGGGATTACCAGCAGTGCTCCTCTCTGAATCAACAAGAATATTCTAAGAAAGCAGCAGATGCGACTAAGAAGCACCCCAGACCCACCTGCTGATCAGTGAGGCAGACACAAACCTGTAACACAACCAGCAAAGCAGGGTGACACGTTGCTGCTGTCAGAAAACAGGGCTGAGGAAGAACATGCCCCTCTACTGCTAAACTAATCAGAGGGAGACACAGGGCCAAGTGGGTAGGCAGACTGGCACATGTGAATGGGGTGCTGGATTTTTGGGAGTGCTGTCTCACATAGCCAGCCCTAGCACATTCCCTTTGGGGATGTAACTCATGCGGGGTCTCAGCTCCTCTCAAGCAGGCCTGCAGAGCCAGCTGCCACTCTCACTGACACCAACATGCAGCTCTGAGGTGTGGTGGGGGACCCTGAGGTCAGCGCCTGGCATCTATCTGCAAATAGCCAAGGGCCACCTGCACCTGAGGACAGTCCCTCACCAGGAACAAGGGCATTTCCCCAGAGTTTGTCAGAGCAGTGCACATGGCTAGCAGAGGGCTGGGAAGGAGGGACCATGTGGCTTGCGGGACTGCAGCTCTCGGGGCTGCTGTCCTGTGTATCCCTAACCCACGACCCCAGCACTTTCAGGTGCAGCAGCTTTCAGGCCAAATGCTAGGCTCGAGGCTTGAATGTGTCTCATTCCACCTTCAGCCTTTACGTAACCCTTCGTTCATTCCCATCCCACACAGCCTTGCAATCAAACCAAACCTACCCTCCTTGCAACCACAGGCTAGAGCTGCACATCCAACCTCCTCCAAGGCTGGTAGTTTGTGGGGAGTGTAAAACAGCTGGGAAAGTGGGCAATTCACTGCTTTCAGCACTTCTGCCAACTTGAGGCCATAGATGCAGGGAAGGCTCGGGGGTCCCTCTCCCCTCCTCAGCACTCTGCCCCCTCTACAACTCATTGCAAGCACACTACGGTTCTGCTCCTATGCTTGGTGGTGGGAGCGTCTTTGTCCAAGCCAGCGGATGAATCTGAGGAGGAAGGAGGTGCCCCATGGCAGTGCAGCAGTGAATTAGCTGGGAAGAAGGGAAGGTTTCCAGTTCTCAGCAGCTCTGTTCCCTACTTGATGTTTTTGAGAAGTGCAGTTCGGGCGTTCACCACGGCTTTGAAGGCATCTTCGCTCCCAGGAGCCACGCATTTATCAGGGTGGAGCAGCACAGCCAGCTTTCTGTAGGCTTTATTCACTTCGTCTCTAGGAGATAACAGAAGACAACAGTGAGGGGACGTGAGTAGCAGATAACCATCGCCTCGTCCTGCTGGCAGAGCACAGCAGAGTGAGGAGCTGCCCCTGCACTAAACACAGCTGTGTGGACACTTCTGAACCTTTCTCTTGCTGGCACCAAGTACCTCCAGGCTTTGGAAGTGAAGCTATGGACAAAGAGCTGAAATAAAAATGCCCACGGTACTTCTAAGCATGGCACAAGCAAAGGATGGGGAGAAACACTCTCCTGAGGCAGGTGCACATTCACCACAGGCACAGCTCAGAGGGTTGTGATCAGCAGCACAGTTTGGTTGGAGGCCTGCAGCTAGCAGTGCCTCAGGGGTTGGTACTGGGTCTGGTCTTGTTTAACATCTTCATCAGTGACCTGGACAAAGGGATGGACTGCACCCTCGACAAGTTTGCTGATGGGAAGCTGGGAAGAGTGGCTGACACACCAGAAAGCTGTGCATTTTGGAAGACCTGGACAAGCTGGAGAGTTGGGCAGGGAGGAACTTGATGAGATTCAACAAAGGTAGAGTCCTACACCTGGAAAGTTATCTGGGAAGTCAGATGTGGCCTCTACTCTGTCATAGTGAGGCCACACCTGGAGTACAGTATCCAATTCTGGGATCCTCCAGTCAAGGTGCTGGTGAGAGACTGCTGGAGGGCTACAGAGATGATTATAGAGGCCTGGAGCATCTCCCTTATGAGGAAAGGCTGAGAGAGCTGGAACTGTTCAGCCTGGAGAAAGGGTCTTATCAAAGCTTATAAATATCTAAAGGGTGAGTGTCAAGTGGATGGGGCCAGGCTCTTTTCAGTGGTGCTCAGCAATGAGGCAATGGGCACAAGCTGGAACACATGAAATTCCACATGAACATGAGAAAAAACTGTACTTTGAAGGTGACAGAGCACTGGCACAGGCTGCCCAGAGAGGTTGTGGAGTCTCGTTCCCTGGAAATACTCAAAATCCACCTGGATGTTTTCCTGTGTATCCTGCTCTAGAGAACCACCTTTAGCAAA